CAAACTAGAACTCTTGGGTGTGGTAACCAATGTGCTAGACTGTGCTGACTATGTGACCATCAGGCATTGAAGCCTATTTTTATGAAGAAACTAAAGGGTGCCATATATGAGCGTTGGTTGGCTTTGCTACAACAATTCTCATTTGACATTGTCTACAAACCAGCGGAGGACATGTACGTTCAGATGCTTTATCACGGTGTCACACTAACGTGAAGGCTGAATTTGAGAGTCCTTGACGATCAGGACCCATTCTTCCCCTATGTCACAGAGGTAACCGGACGTATATGTTTACCTGATGGTCACCAAATTCTGGATTTTATCGGCCTACCTACCTCAGACTCCATCTCTGATGACACAGAAAGTCATTGTCCACGAGTTCAAAATGTGTGTTTATCCAAACCATTACCAGCTGTTCTTGTTGAGGACTAGGGTTGTGATGCTGATTCTTATGAAATTGACATTGACATCTCTTTAGTGAACCAACGTTGCTGCAGGCGTCAACCTCTGTTATCCAAACCTAACACTGGTACAAATACTGTTCATATAGCTACCGACACTCAACATGAAATTTCTATTGATTTGTGCGGATTGTGCATCTAATTATCAGGCTAAAGACCAAACAGATCCTTCTCTGAATAAGTCAGTTGTGAATGTCAGTGAGATAGATCAAGAACCGAAGGAGAAGGATACTGTTACCATGGACATGACGACAGCAATATGGCATATGGTTCATCTGATAATGTTAACGTTTTGGACTTAAACAATGGTGAACCCCATCCTGCATAGCTGGCGTCTACAGACATTGACTCGCTTGACCATATTGTTTCACACACATTCATTCGCTTCCGCACTATTGTTGTCGTCTTTTTCAGCAGCTAGAAACTCTGATGTGATACCCCTAGCTGATTTCTAGAGAGGCCTCACATAAGGGCGGACTGGTCGAGTGGTTGACAATTTACAAATGATTGTCTATGAGAACATAATCCGCAGATTCCAATATCAACTATATAACCAACCGAATTCAGTTGGCATTGATATAGGCTATGCATGCAATGGACAAATTATTGACGACATAATAATTACGTTGGATACCTCTGACCCTCCCCATGCGTTGGCTGTTCTATTCATTAAACAAAAATACACGGTACATACATTGTTTTAACTAAATGCTGAATAATGATAATAAGTGTAATTGAATTGTTCAAGTGATGAACAAACTTCAAAAACGGTAAATAAGGGTATTAAACTGCTTTCAGTTGGCGTTCATAGGCAATATGAATGAGCGCGCTTCATTGAGTTTGCCTTTGTCCAGTTGGCATTCTTATTGCCTATGAATGCCAACTGAAAGCAGTTCAATGCTTAAATGCTAGAATATAAAATTAGTTATTGCTCTTGCATTAAGGAAAAACGATTCTTTGGTTTTCCTAGATAATTCATGATTCAATCAGGCTTGACCCTCGCGAATGATGTTTCCCTTCAACAAGGCCACAGTGCAGTTGGCTTGTCTGTGTGTAAACAAAACTCATATGAATAAGAATATGAATTGGATGCAAGCTCCTTTGTTGGAAAAAAAATGGTTTGCACTACTTCTTTTTAGATACTCCACCAATTTCAATGATACTCGATAAACATAATACTTAAAAGGAGGGAATGCGAATAAAGTATGCAAAAATGGAGATACTTCATCTTCTAATGAGGCTGTGCTCCTTTTAAAGCATTAAACATGCTTTAAATGTAAATACTCATCTTGTACTAACATTCCCTGCCCTGGGGAAATGGGTATATGAGCATTTAAATGTCCAGCCCTTGAAGGAGACATACATGAGCATTAACATCCCCAGCCCTGGGGGGAGGGATAGATGAGTACTAACATTCCCAGCCCTGGGGGAGGGATATATGAGTACTAACATTCCGAGCCCTGGAGGAGGGATAGATGAGTACTAACATCCCCAGCCCTGGGGAGAGGGATAGATGAGTACTAACATTCCCAGCCCTGGGGAGAGGGATAGATGAGTACTAACATTCCCAGCCCTGGAGGGAGGTATAGATGAGCACTAACATTCCCAATCCTGGAGGGAGGGATAGCTGAGCACTAACATTCCCAGCCCTGGAGGGAGGGATAGATGAGCACTAACATTCCCAGCCCTGGAGGGAGGGATAGATTAGTTCTAACATTTCCGGCCTTGGAGGGAATGAAAGATGATCACTAACATCCCCAGTGCTAGTGATGTAGTTGTCCATTTTTGTAACTGGCTGTCATATATCTTACAGTGTTTATATCTGTTCTTGTAGAGAGTTCGTCAACATTCCTCAATGTCTTGGTACCATGCATCATTGTAACTGGTGCGGCCTTTTTATCGTCACAGCGTAAGAATTAAATTGTAATGGATTATTCTATCATTAAAATGAAAGGGAATAGTTTTAGAATTTGTTGGTGAACCCTATTGGTCAGTAATCAAGGGCATCTTGCCATTTTAATCAAATTATTTTATTTTATTTGCATATTTGCCTTGCATTTTTTTGTAATTAAAGAGAAATTACTGTATCGATAAAAACAGAAGACCATATATTTGATTTTAAATCAATGTATAAATATTTGTCAATGGTATTTTAGCATAATATCATAAACCATTCAATGTAATACAAAAAATCGTATTATGCAGTTTGGTAATGCACTCAATTTGAATTGTACATACTTTCAATATCAAAGGATGTTTAATCTGGATTTTGTGCATTTCCATAGTGTAAAATTCCTTTATTTTTGTATGTTGTAGTTCTTACGTTGTTTTGTTGAAAACGAATACAATTTTCATCACGAACCCATTATCTGTCTGTCATCATTCCTGGATGAGTTGGCGGAACACATTGTAACCGAGTCTATTTGTTAACTGCATTGGCTAAAGATTAATCCAGCCACTACTTACACAATTATCACACTTTCCAGCTCATTACTCCAGCCACTCCTTACACAGTTATCACACTATACAGCTCGTCAATCCAGACCCTATTTACCCAGGTATCACATTATCCAGCTTGTTAATCCAGCTACTACTAACACAGTTATCCCACTATCCAGCTCGTTAATCCAGCCACTATATGTCAATCAAGCCACTAGTCACAAAGTTATGCCACTATCCAGCTCGTCAATCAAGCGAAACTAACACTTATGCCACTATCCATCTCGTCAATCCAGTCACTACGTACACAGATACATGTACTACTGAGCATACTGACTACACACTCCTGGGACATACAGCTGAACATACTGACTACACACTCCTCGGACATACTGCTGAACATACTGACTACACATTCCTGGGATATACTGCTGAACAGACTGACTACACACTCCTGTGACACACTGCTGAATATACATGTACAGATTACACACTCCTCTGCAACACTGCTGAACATACAGAAACAGACTACACATTCCTATGACATACTGCTGAACAAACGGAGTAAACACTCCAGTGACATACTACTTAACATACAGACAAAACAATCCTGTGACACACTGCTGGACATACAGGCTACACATTCCAGTGACATAATACTAAACATACAGACTATACACTCATTGGACACACTTATGAACATATGTACAGATCACACACTCCTCAGCTACAGTTCTGAACATATTGACTACACACTACTAGGACATTCTGCTGAACAGACTGACTTAACACTCCTTGGACATTACACTGAACAGACTGAATACACACTCCTGTGATATTACGCTTAACAGACTGACTACACACTCCTGGGACATACTATTGAACATAATGAATACCCAATCCTGGGACACACTGCTGAACATACACACTACACATTCCGGGGAAACACTGCTGTACACACTCTTGGGACATTACGCTTAAGAAACTGACTATACACTCCTGGGACACAATGTTAAACATACTGACTACACACTCCTGTAGCATTCCGCTGAACATAATGAATACACACTCCTAGGACATAATACTGAACATACAAACTATACATTCCTTGGGAACACTACTGAAAATACTGACAACACACTCCATTACGCTAAACAGACTGACTCAAACTCCTGGAACACACTATTGAACATATTGACTACATTGTGTACATACTCCTTGGGCATACTGATGAACATATAGACTGCACACTACTGGGACACACTACTGAACAAACGGACTACACACTCCTGTGATACACTGCTGAACATACAGACTGCACACTACTGGGACACACTACTGAACAACCGGACTACACACTTCTGGGATACACTGAATGTACTGACTACACACTCCTGGGATACACTGATGAACATGCAGACTGCACACTCCAGTGACACACTGCTGAACAAACAGACTACAAATTCCTGGGACAGACTGCTGAACATACAGACTCCACACTCGTGGGACACACTGCTGGAAAAAACTACAAACTGCTGGGACACCTACTGAACAGACTGACTTCACACTCCTGGGGCACACTGCTGAATGTACTGAATTCACAATCCTGAGACACACTGCTGCACATACGGACTACACAGATCTAGGACATAATACTGAACATACAGACTATACATTCCTTGGGCACACTACTGAACATACAGACTACAAAGTCCTGGGAAATTACGCTTAACTCACTGACTACATACATATACTCCCTGGACACACTATTGACCATACTGACTACACACTGCTAGGATACAATACAGAACATACTGATTACACAATTCAGGCACACACTGCTAAACATACAGACCACAAATTCCTGGGGGCCAATCATGAACAAACTGACCAAACACTCATGGGACACATTGCTGAACATAATGACTACACACTCCCGGGACACACTGCGAAATATACTGACTACAAACTCCTAGAACAAACTGCTGAACATACTGACTACACAATCCTGGGAAACACTGCTCAACATACACACTACAGACTTCTGAGACATCACGCTTGATAGACTGTCTATACATTCTTAGGACACACTGCTGAACATACTGACTACACACTCCTTGGACACACTGCTGAACATACTGACTACACACTCCTGGGAAACACTGCTCACCATACACACTACACACTTCTGAGACATCACGCTTGACATACTGTCTACACACTCTTTGGACACACTGCTGAACAAACGGACTACACACTCCTGGGAAACACTGCTCAACATACTGACTACACACTCCTGGGAAACACTGCTCACCATACACACTACACACTTCTGAGACATCACGCTTGACAGACTGTCTACACATTCTTTGAAAACACTGCTGAACATATTGACTACACACTCCTGGGACATACTGCTGAACATACTGACTACACACTCCTGGGAAACACTGCTCAACATACACACTACACACTTCTGAGACATCACGTTTGACAGACTGCCTACACACTCTTTGGACACACTGTTGAACATATTGACTACACACTCCTAGAACAAACTGCTGAACATACTGACTACACAATCCTGGGAAACACTGCTCAACATACACACTACACACTTCTGAGACATCACGCTTGATAGACTGTCTACACATTCTTTGGACACACTGCTGAACAAACGGACTACACACTCCTGAGAAACACTGCTCAACATACACACTACACACTTCTTGGAAACACTGCTCAACATATTGACTACACACTCCTGGGACACACTGCAGAACATACTGACTACACTCTCTTTGGAAACACTGCTAAACAAACGGACTACACACTCCTGGGAAACACTGCTCAACATAACACTACATACTCCTGGGCCACACTGCAGAACATACTGACTACACTCTCTTGGGACACACTGCGAAACATATTGTTTATGCACTCCTGGGACACGTTGTGGTACATAATCACTACACATTTCTGGGACACACTGCGAACAGACTGGCAATACACTCCTGGGACACACTGTTTAAAATACAGACTTCACATTCCTAGGTCATACTGCTGAACATACTGACTACACAATCCTGGCAAAAAATGTATCCAATGCATTACACGCTTATAAAACGGTATGACACAGAAAGTAGTTTTCGACGGCAAGTAATCATTACCATGAGTCCCCGAAAGAGCGGTGCTGGGACTTATTTTATTCCTGGTCTTTATTAACGACCTTACTTTCTGTGTAACAAACGCTATACAAAACAATCGCCACACACCTAAGGACTCTGTAAAACTGCAACGGGACATTGACAGACTGCAGAAATGACAAATGTGCTTTAATCTTGATAAATGCAGGGTAATACTAATATCTATAGCACCTCTAACCATCCTCCATACACAAACACCATCTTTAGACAGATTTCACATATAAAACGTCCTTTTCTGAAGCAAACACAAACACTGAAGAAGCAAACTGCAGGAAGGCTGATGCTGTCCAAAATCGCCCTTGGTCTGATCGACACTAGACCGGATTTCTAAGTTCAGCTAGCAATTACACCAGCAAGGACTATCGACACATCCAACCGCAATCAAGAACACTCATTTATATCTACTAAGATCTCTAGTTAAATGAAAAAATATTTTCATGTAAAATATAGGGGGAAAAAATAGTATCACAGACCAACAGCATTATGTCAATCAAGTTATAGAAAACTTATAATAATCCTTCTCATCAATATGTACATCGCTGCAACACATGACATCATTTATTACAAATAATTATTGTGATTGATATAGCCGTTTCTCTCATCTCTCATCAAGACACTGTACCTCACACAACACGCCGTTTTAGCATGTGTTTAACTCCAAATAGCACTTAAACAGCATGCATTGTTGGTAATGTTTTATTATACACAAATTGTTATAACAAAAACAGAATTACTGCTAAAATGTTAGCCTTGAATTATTTCTGCCTTGTATTTGGTATTAGTGTGTATTAATACTTGTGTTTAACTGTTTAGTGTATCAAACACCTGTGTTTAAATGTTCAGCGTGTCAAGTACTTATAATCAACTGTTCAGTGTGTCCAGCACCTATGCTCAACTGTTCAGTGTGTCCAGTACCTGTGCTATACTGTTCAGTGTGTCCAGCACCTGTGCTATATTGTTCAATGTGTCCAGGACCTGTTATACTTTTCAGTGTCTAGCACCACCTGTGTTATAGTGTTAAGCGGTCCAGGACAGGTGTCAAACTGTTCGTTGTTTTCAAAATGTTCTTCCAGTCTATCACAGTTATACTGTTCATTGTGTCTATCACAGGTGTTTAATTGATAATTGAGTACTTCATCCGTGTTATACTGTTCAACAGGTCCAGCACCTGGATTATCCTTTTGAGTGTGTCGAGTACTTGTGTTCAGGAAGCCCAGAACCTGTATTACACTGTACACTCCGTCCAGTACTTGTTTTAAACTGTCCAGTGTATCCAGTAGTTGTGTTAAACTTTCTAGTGTGTCGAGCAACTGTGTTATACCATCCATCTCTTCCAGCACCTTTGTATACTGTTCAGTGTATTCATCACCTTTGTTTTATTTTTCAGCGGTCCATAACATGTGGCTGTGTTTAACTGTTTTGTGTGTCCAACACTTGTGTTTAAATGTTCAGTGTGTCAAGTATTTGTGTTATATTGTTAAGTGTGTCCAGGATCTGTGCTTTACTGTTTGTTGTGCCCATCACCTGTGTCGCACTGTTCAGTGTGTGAAGCACCTGTGTTTTACTGCTCAGCATGTCCAGTAATTGTGTTTTACTGATCAGTGTGACCAGCACCTGTGATGAACTGATCAGTGAACCCAGGTTCTGTATTAAACGATACAGTAAACCCATGTTCTGTGTTAAACTGTACACTGTGTCCAGTAGTTGTTTTAAACTATTCAGTGTGTCGAGCATCTGTGTTATACTGTTCTGTATTCAGCACCTGTTGCATAGTGTTCAGTGTGTCCAGTGCTTGTGTTATATTGTTCATTTGGTTCCACACCTATGTTACACAGTTCAGTGTGTCCAAGACCTTTGTTAAAATGTACAGTGTCCAATTCTTGTTTTGAACTGTCCAGAGTGTTCAGCACATGTATTATATTGTTCAGTGTGTTCAGCACCTGAATCAAGCTGTTTAATGTGTCCAACAACTGTGTTTAACTGTTTAGTGTATCCAACAACTGTGTTTAAATTATCAGTGTATCAAGTACTTGTGTTTAACTGTTTAGTGTATCAAACAAGTGTGTTAAATGATCAGTATGTCAAGTACTTGTGTTTAACTGTTTAGTGTATCAAAAAAGTGTGTTAAATGATCAGTGTGTCAAGTACTTGTGTTTAACTGTTTAGTGTATCAAAAAGTGTGTTAAATGATCAGTGTGTCAAGTACTTTTGTTCAACTGTTCAGTGTGTTCATTACTGGGCAGGATGATAGTAGCACCTTTACCATACTGATAATTTTTTGAGAAAAATGGGTATACTTTAGCAGCACCCGCCTGAAGTGATTTTTGTGAAACTGTTACAACCCTATAAGCCATGTCCTTACTACTGACAGTGATTTCTCCGACACGAAAACATCCATAAAATACTAATGAATAGGCACAACTAAACAAGGCAACCTCATATTGGGAACTGCACATTTTTGGTAGTACAGATATAATGCTAGCTAAAATATCCACCGTGATAAGCAATCTGGCATCACTAACCCCAACACTATCTCTCCTTACTCCCTCTAGTAGTTTTTCGATAATTAACTGTTGGGTAGGGTCACCATGGCCTTCTATCTTGCAATTAAAACTCAAACCAGCAAGATAAGTTTTAATTGTGGAGTATGAGTAACCTTTTTGAGACATGTAAGCAATATAACGCATAACTTGTTGTGTTGGAGGGGGCCAGGATCGTCTAGCGAATAGTCCTGTCGGAACTTTTCAGAGCAATTGCATAGGACCCACTTGTGTTTTTTGAAACGGATAATTCAATTAATCTGTGGACTTCACTGTCAAGAGTGTTGGGAGGAACCCCTTCGGTATCTTTGCTGGCTCCTGGTTTGCCCATGGCCGTATTTCTCGAAATCTTGTGAACTGAAAACGAGACAATGCATCAGCAGCTGTTTTATGCACCCAAGGTACATGTGTGGCCTTAAATTGAATGCTGTTGTGCATGCAGGGAACTAATAGCAGCCTTACCGAGGACATAATCCTATGTGACTTGGATCTTTTCTTATTCAAGATTGTAACTAATATTGCCTAGGTGGAAATTGATTTTCTTAGACCTGAACTCTGATGACCAAGTTTGGACTGCCATATAATAGGTACCAATTCCAGAAAGGTTATATCTCTCAAGATGTACTTCTGCTGCCAGTATCTTGGCCATTTGAATGCAATCCAAGTACTGCCCCAACAGGCACCACAACCCAGCTCCCAGTTTCCTGCACTGTCAGTATATAGTCCCAAATCTACATTACTACTCCAGAAGTTTTCCAAAAAATAACACTTGCCATTAAATTTATTTAAAATAGCAACCACATTTCTAGGTCAGCTCTAATCTCTTGAGATATTTTTACTCTATGGTAGTTTTTTATGCCTGACATTACGTCAAACACACGCCGAATACATGCTCTAGCTATTGGTATAGCATTAGCACAAAAGGACATTATCCTAGCCAAAGATTATAGTTCCTGTAATTTCACTTTTTACCCCTACCTAAAACCTTCAAAATCTCTGTCCTTTGAACCACGACTTTCTCCTGCGGGATCCTAATTATCATTTCCATTGTGTCAATTTCAAGACCTAAGAATATCAAAGTTGTAGTTGGACCCTCAGATTTCTCCTCAGCAACGGGTATACCAATATCTTGATAGGTTTTCTTGAAAAATGGAAGTAAGCCTAGCACATGTATCTGTTTTGTCCTTCCCAGCAAATATGAATTCATCTAGATATTGATCTAAACTTCTCCTTTACAATCTACTCGATGAACGATGACAACTTCTCAAATAAACTACACGACACCGAGCAACCCATAGGTAAACATGTGTCCACAAAGTACTTGCCTTGAAACTTGAAACCTAACAATGGAACGTCAGCTGGATGGATAGGAAGGAGACGAAACGCAGACTTAATATCTATTTTCCCAAGCAAAGCACCTTTGCCTAACTCAGCTATCATCGTGACCACTTTATCAAATGACGAGTATTGCACTGAAACCATATTAGGGTCAATATTACTATTTACACTATTCCCTAATGGCCATGAAAGATGTGTTATTAGCCGCCACTTCCCATCCTTTTTGGGAACGATTCCTACGGGGGAATTATTCCACTGAGCCATAGGTTTTTCATCAAAAGGACCTTACCAATTTCAAATATTTCGATTCCCTCGGGATCCTTGAGGAAAGATAATGAAGTCTGAAGCCATTCTTAAATCCTTGCAGAAGATGCCTCCAAACATACTAATTCGGGAACTTAGCAACTCAGTGCCTAGGAGCCGGAATGTCTATTGGGGTTTTTCACATT